GCTGGCTGCAAAGTCCTCCTCTGTGGCCTAACAGACTGCTCCTCCCCTGGGGGGGAGAGGGGTCAAACAGCCTGCCCTTGAGATCCTGTTAGAAATAGTCCATGTTCCCCTTACTTTGGAAAACTACTTGGTTACTGAGCTACCACAGGCCACATCCAAGCAGAAGTTCTAGGTTATATCCATAGATGGTCCTTGGTTGAGTGTTTCAAAGCAGACACTAAGACTCATAACCAAACCCTCGGCAGAGTGCAGGGAATCATATGAAAGAAGGGAAGTTAGTATGATATAGAAAGGATAGGAGCTCTACAAGGACCAAATATATCTGGGCACAGGGTCTTTTCTGAGACTGTAGTGACCTTTAAATGTCCCAACACATTATGTTAAAACAGATCTTTTAAATCCAGTCAAATTTATTGAGTTCTTAAAAATTGGATCTGTATATCTATTAAAGAAATGTATGTTTAGATTTCTAAAAAAAAAAAAAAAATGCACCAAGATGAGTTAGCTTTTGGCTTTCAATGGAAACTCCAGAATTAAAAATAGAGATGTCATTCCTATTCTCTTTTCTTTAAAAACAAAATCCTCAAAACACAGAATCAATAAACAACTGGACAATTATATATCCAACATTTTTTAAAACTGTTTTGATAAGGAAGATTTTGGCTGTCCAAAGCTATCACAAACTCCAGGAAATGATAGAAACTGATTAAGTAAAGTAGATTCCTATTAAAACGGGTTAAACTGAGACTGACTTTGAGTGGTTATCACTTCTGGCTTTATCCCAGCAACCAGCCTCCTGGGACTCCTGCTTTTGTAGGTTTGTTTATTTAAGTATCTTCTGATGTGAGTAAGAATGAGGGTTGATAATAATTGCCCTGGAAAACAGTCACCACTAAGAGATCCTGCCTGAGCAGGACTCACTCAGGTGTCTTGCTAAAGCTCATGTAAAGAGAAGGTCAAAAATCCAGTGCTTTGATCAAAAAAAGAAAAAAAAAAACAAAAAAAAAAAAAACAACTCATCCTATCATGAGCATGGCACTGAAAGTAGAGCACTCAGACCCCAGTTTGTGACAGGATCAAGGACCAGGAATCTCACTATGCGTTAACAATGCAATAAGCTGTATGTGTATTGATGAGCCAGGCCTGACAGGCCTCCCATCTCACTGACAGCATCACACGGCATCGCATTCACCTTGCACTTGTGTGATTGGCTGGGATCTGCGGGTCACTGTATCGTGAGGGAATAGCCTGTGATAGCTCTTACAGACTTGAAAAGGCCTGCAAAGAGGGTCAGAATGACTCAAAGATAAGAAGAATTAACTGTTGATAAATAAAAATTAGAAGTCAAGTAAGTTAGAAAATACAATAAAAATTAAAACATGAGGCCAGTGAGATGGTTCAGGAGGAAAGGTATTCCTGCTTAGCGTAAGACCTAAGTCTGAATTCTAGGCCCCACATGGTAGAAGAGGAGACCCCGATTTGATAATTTTCCCTCTGACTGCCAAGACATGACACCACACACACACACAGTAAATTAAAACTTTAAATATTCTCAAATTCAGTGTTGTAGCCCCTAGATACTGCTCAAGTTGTTAACTAACTTGCACCATGCACTTACCAGCCATGCAAACCCAAATGTAAATAATTTTATAACTGTCTGGAGGATTTGATAATCACTTCAAGGTCAATATCTGGCGAGTGAGACTTCACAGACAATGGAGTAGAGAGGTTAGCAAATGACTTTATCCCCATGGATAAAAAGCTGGACCATTTCAATGGTCAAAAATTACCATTTCAAGATTCTGGCAATCAATTAAAGTCAACGAGCTTGAGACGGTCTTATTCCTGACACAGTGCTGTGAGAAAAGCAGGCATCCCTGCGGGACACCTGCTGCCCTGCCGCCTGCACAGCCCTATATTATAGCTATTTTATCCTGGACCAGACACTGCACTGTGTCTAAATACATTGGCGAGCAAGATAGACTGTGTAGGAATAAAGGACTCTAACTCCACCATTACATCCGACTCTTCATGAGTTACACAATGGGACAAAGCACTCTTGCTTTGCACATAACTTTGAAGCACATGACTTTTAACGTGATTTCTGTTTTAACCTATGAACGTGAAGTAGTTGAATACACAATAAAATAATTTCAGTTCATCTCACTTGGGACGAAGGGTGAATGTGATTGGGAACTTAAAATTGGCTGGCTCTATCACTTTCTGAGTGTTGAAATGTCACTCTGGACATCAGATCAATTGTCTAATAGAAGAAAATTTCAAGATAACCTTTTGAGACCAAAAGGGTATATAATAATTATATTCTGGGTATAGGGTATATAATAATTATAACAATAAAAAAAAACAATTATGGGTAAGGGTATATAATAATTATAACAATAAAAAATGTTAACTATTATTATTAAAACAATAATTATTAATATATATTCATCAACAATGTTCACAAGGAATTCTCAGGCTTCTTTTGACACATAGTATATTTTCATAATTAACATAATATTTGTAAATTCATGAATCGTTTTTAACGGCTTATTGTTTTAAATGTGTAAAGCTCATAGGATTTAATATATCATACTGGAGTCAAACCTAAATCCCAACATACAAACATAAAACTTACAAATTCTAAACTTAGCTTGATTTTACTTAATATCAGAGTACCAAAATTATAAGCTTTGATGTTTAGCTTTTATTTAATAAATGTAACTTACACTGGGTCAAACATTAAATCACTTTGTATTCCTCAACTCCCTTAATTCATGAAACTTCCAGGAAGTGATCCCTATTACCATGTCAGCTTTGCACATGAGGACATTGAGCACCAAGACTTTGACTAACTTAACTTGCCTGGGGCACAAAGCAGCAGTGAGATGAACTTGTTCCTGAGTGATGTATGGTGAAGACTAGATTCAAACTTAGGCCAACTGGCTCTAAGCCCTGAACTCTTACCTTTGGTGCTGTAATGACAGAACTGTGTACCTATGAGCTTGTCTTACAAAGCCAAATACTCAAAGAGAGAAATACAGGCAATTACATGTTTTTATTTTAAAAATCAACATGTCTTTTTTAAAAATATATGTGCATACCTATACTCATTTCCAAAGAAACCCTCAGACTCTAAAATAATGACTTAATATATACAAAACTAAGGAATAAAATTGACTAACTTGAAAGTTAGTATAGAAGAATTTCAAAAAGAAAATAATATCAGAGTAATAGAAACATGGAATTTAAAAGATATAATTGGATTTAGGTTAAATCTCTAGCAGTTTAATTTTTAAGAACAATTCTAAATCACAAACTCCCATAAATGTCACATCATGAATAGTTAAGTTTTATGTACAACACCAATTATGAGCAAACCTATGTAATACAAAGATACACATTCTTGTGGTTCAGCATGCATATAAACACGTCTTCTGTTTGCCTGTTTGAAAAATTTGCTTTCTAATTTAGGGGTCCTCGCTTCCTATATTGAATAATTAGAAGACAGTTTCCTCCTTTAGATATCTGATGTTAAGTTAGTTGCGCTAGTCCTGTGACACCTGGCCTACATGCTGTGTCTTCCACAGCGGGCATTCACAGCAACACCTTCACATTCAGCATTTCCCCACTAGTGCTGAAAGATTATTTTTGAAAGAAATTCATAGCAATTAAACACATTTTATGTGGCTGAGATGTTCATGCCAGGCTTCCAAACCATCCTCAAATGGTTATCAAAACTGATGACAGAACTCTTATCGAACAATGAAAATGCAAGGAGATGTGGAAAGATGTAAAACAGAAAACTCCAGAAGCCACTAGGTAGAGGAAAACACAGGCATTGCAGCAATGAAGGCATACATCTGTGCCTCCACTGGGAGACTCAAAACTGGAAATAAAGTCCAGCCAATGGTAAGACAGGCAGGAAGTAACAGGAAGCAGCTCTCAGTGGAGCCCAGAAACCTCTCCTAAGCTGATTTCTGTAGCGTCACTTTAATATTAACATGCGCCCTTGCTGACAGACATTTTCAATGAGACACCTTTTCTTTCCATTATGGCTTCCTTTGAGTTCTGATTAATTACTGTGGAAATTAATCATTACATGACTCAAGGCAAAGCATTTTAAATGTCGGCAACGTTGTAATATCAGCTCTCTCAATTATCAGAGTAACTCTGCCTTTTCAACAGAGAATGTCGCCAATGCAAATTATTGCCAACCATAGTTGCAGTCTGGAGAGTTTTGGTTTGTCTGTTGACCTGGTCTTATTTTGAATATACTCAGACCTGTCAAGAAAATATACTTTTTAAGGGGTGTCTTAGCTAGAACCCTTTAGCTCAAATGAAGAACTAATAAAATATGGCTTCCATGCGTATTACTGAATGTAAGCATGGCTAGAATTCCTTTTATTGTCCCACATGAATAGGGAGAATGCTTCGAAGTTAAAATGTGGAACTACAGTGACATCATTGTTTAGTCTTCTAGCTAGGTGTGTCTTTTAAAAGTTAAAGTGATCTTAACGTGAAAAGAATGTCAGGTGTGAACGATACCTTCTCATGCAATCCAATGCGCGGACGAAAAAGTCTTTGTGCAGCTGATGCTCATCTCGGAGGATGGAGCACTGTTCAAGCGTCACCGACATGGACGTCCTGTCTTTGGCACTTTTACAGCAGGTAAAGCGAATACCATTGAGTTTGCGACAGATCTGCAAGAGCCAAGCGAAAACAAGGAATCAAGTTTTCTTCTGTCTAACCCTATCAAACGTAAACATATCCTCCATTTCAGGACCTAAGCTGGAGGGCTAGTTTTAACTTGTTTCTCTCTTTGAGTGGAAAGCGTGGGGTTATCAAAACCAACATATGTGATCTCAAAGATCCTAATGAGGGAATGCAGGTTGCCTCATTTGCATAAATGCCACTTACAGCTCAGGAGCACTAGCTAAAAAAGAAGTAAGCCCTATAGTTCCCAGGTTAGACGCTTGGACGTATACCCAGAGTCCAATTATTTTCAAAACCAACCAGCCTAAATCTCACCACTGATGCAGGAGGGTCTCATTGTGAGGGTCTGAGAAACAGTGAAGACAGACCCCAGACTCAAGGAGCATGCAAAAGCAAGGAAGGTTTATTCTGTAGAAAGTCACCAGCGTGCTGAGACCACCATTCCTTAGAATCGGACAGTGAAGGGCGCACACAGTCCCAATTTAAAGGTAATTAGGGAGCATTCCTGGAGGAGTGAGGTAACCATTGATTGGTTGACTCAGGAGGTATGGAGGTTAGGATTGGCTAAACATTTAGGAACTTTTCAGAGTTGCAAAGGTCTTTTCCTCAGGTTTGCTAAATCATTATACTTAGCGCAAGCCCATGTGTTGACCTTTAAGCTGATTGGCTGCCTGTGAGCTGCATTTTTTTTTTCCCCCAGAAACTGTTTTTCTATGTTCAGAGCATAGAGTCAGATTAGCTAAACAGTTTGGGGCCTTCTGGGAGTCTTTCGGAGGTTTTGGGGTTATTAGACCTCTCATCATGAAGTCTCACCCCTACCTTGGGAAATACTGCAATTGATGATTGCTGGGGAAGGGAGTCAATTTACATCAGAGTTGCTATATATGAGATCCTACTTGTGCTCCAGTAGGGGGCCCTGCACTCACTCACACATAGGCAGCCCTAAGTGGATTCAGTGAGTTTAATAAGAAAACATGAGATAGGGAGGGAAAACTGGCAGTATGGGTAGAGAAGATGGATTAGAGGGAAGGAAATTGGGGTATTTTTTATTAAACCACATTATATGGATGTACAAAATCCTCAAATTATATAAAAATAAATAAAAGCACTTACTGAAAATAGCAGCTTTCTTTGTAACAGCCAGAAACTGGAAGCAACCTACATGTCCCTCAATCAAAGAATGGATAAAGGAAATGTGGTACATTTACACAGCTTTTAAAAACAGACCTCATGCAATTTGCAGGCAGATGGATGAAACTAAAAAATATCATCCTGAGTGAGGTAACCAAGACTCAGAAAGACATAGATGATATGTACTCACTTGTAAGTGTATATTAACCATAAAGTACAGGAGAACCATGCTACAATACACAGACCCAAAGAAGCTAAGTAACAAGGAGGGCTCAAGGGAGGATTCCTCTATCTCACACACAAGGGGAAATAAAGTAGCCATTGGAGGTGGATGGAGGGAGGTAACTGGGTAGCAGAGGAAATGGGGATGGAAATAACTGGGTAGGAGAGGGGATGAGATGGGAAGCAGGTGTGCAGATTAAAAATAGGGAGAGCTGGGGAGAGAGGGCCAGGTGAGAGAACAGAAGCTAGAGATAGGGGGGCGTCTCTGGGACCTGCCAGAAACCTGGTGTAAAGGAGACCCCAGGAAGTTTATGGGGCCACCCTAGCTGAGACTCCTAGCACTTGGGGGACATGGAGACTGAAATGGCCACCCACAGTAGCCAGGAAGGACTTCCAGTGTAGGCATAAGACACCAACCCACCCACAAAACCTTCAGCCCAAAATTTGTCCTGCCTACAAGATGTGCACAAACAAAGATGGAGCCAAGGTTGGGGGAATGACTAACCAAAGACTGGCCCTACTTGAATCCCATTCTATAAGAGAGAACCACTCTCTGACACTATCAATATTACTCTGCTATGCTTGTGGATGGGAGCCTAACATGACTCTTCTGAGAGGCTTCTCCCAGCAGCTGATGGAAACAGATGCAGAGACACACAGCCTCACATTAGACAGAGCTCGGGGAGACCTATGGAAGAGTTGGAGGAATGACTGAGGGAGAGAGAGGGGTCAAGGACTCTACACAAAGACCTACAGTGTCAGCTAACCAGGACCCATAGGTGCTCACAAAGACTGAATTACAAACCAAAGATCATAAATGAAATGGTCCTATGCCCCTTTCCCATACACAGCAGATGTGCAGCTTGGTCTTCATGTGGATTCCCCAGCAGCCAGAGCAGGGGCCCTCTCTGACTCTGATGCCTGCCTTTGGATCCAGTTTACCTAAATGGGCTGCCTTGTCTTGCCTCAGTGGGAGAGGATGTGCCTAGTCCTGCAGTGACTTAATGTGCCATGCTGGGTTAATACCCATGAGGGACATCCCCTTTCTCTGAAGAAGAGGGGAAAATGGAGGAGGAGGAGTGTGTGTGGGAGGACTGAGAGAAGAGGAGGGGCCTGTGATCAGGATGTAAAGTGAAAAAAGAAATTTTAAAAATGTTTGCTGGACTTGAATTTATGTCCCAAAATATCCAGATATGGGAACCATGTGGCTATATTGGGAACATTAAATTAGCCACAATTATTGCACATTGACTCTCTCTCTCACACACACATATGCTCTTATGTATTATATTTTATAATATTTTAAGAGCATATATATGTGTAAGTGTGTGTATAAATGCACATACACAAACATATGCTCTTATAATGAACTGAGCATGAACCCTAGTAGAGGCCATAACTCCCCTCACTTTACAGTGGGAAGCTGCAGCTCAGTAAGCTACGTGACCTGTGCACAACAGAGCAGGGAGAGGGTGCAAACAAGTCTACGTAAGACCAAACACACAGCTTTCACTTTTGTGTGTCTGCTGTTCTTCTGTGAATATTGTTGTTAGAAGACAGAAAGAGCCTTCCACTCAGGAACACCCGTTTTCTCATTCTCTTACTTTTACCATGCAGACCTCTGCTCCCCTCTCTTCTAGCCTTGATGGGTTTCTGAGGCAAGATACCAATAATTAACTGCAGCATCAGCAATGCTAATAAATGTGCATTTAAGATAAAATTAATGTGACAATAACCATCTACTTTATTATCTGTAATCAACGAGGCCTTAAAAGTGTCTGCTTGGAGAAGAAACATTAAAACAGTTTTTATTATGAAAATTTTTCACTGTATTTTAATTGTGGTTCTGGTACTTAAATTAAGATTTATATGGCCCTAGTAATTCAGATTTTCATTCCTTCTATTCCCAATAAATGTAGCTACAGAAAAATGAGAGTATGGTTTTACTATATAATTCTTCTTTCTTAGAAAATGTTAGTTCTTTCAGATAAATAATATTTTACATTTTTAAAAGCTGCCTGTATTCACAGTCATAAAATATACCTTAATGGGTACTTTTGAGATATAATTTTTAAAATAACTAATATTCTTTAAAATACATTGCTATTTTCACATATGCCTCTCCTTCTTGAGGTGCTGTGCATTTAAAAATCAAATGCAGGTAGGATGTTTCTCCATGATAAGCAAGAGAAGTCTTGATTTCTGTCTCTCTTTTGAATGATACAAGCTTACTTGTATGTACATATGCAGATAGCATTTGGTTTTTGAAATTTTTCTTATTATTTAAATTAAATCAAGAAAAAATGAAACAACTTATGTGTTTTAATTAGACGGTGAAACATTGACAAAGACAGTATTTCAGTAGACAGATATAAGGAAAAGAAAAGAGGAAATAAAAATAAAAAAGCCTTTTGGTAATGTCAGAAGAATTCCATGTTTCTTCATTGAAAGAGTATTATTAAGTTGTTCTGTTTCAAAAACTGATATTGAAACTAAGCTTTCAACTTAGAGTAATGTTGGGGATTACACAATCAGCTGTATACTATATAAGAACTTTATGTGATTGGTGCACATATCAGAAGAACATTTTAGAAATATGCAGGGTTGATGAGGAATGTTTATATAGTCAAATGGAAAATTCATATACTAAAAAAAGATATCCACTCATGTGTCATGTAGCTACCTTTTGGTTTATCTTTTTAGATGATTTTACCTCATGTATACAATGTCATATTCATATGGCCACCAGATGTTGGAGGGCCTTGCAAACTATCAGACTTCCTAAATACTGTAATGTTTTCAGTGAAATATGCAACATAGCATAAGGCTTACATCAGCAAAATTTTTGCCAACTAATAACCACGGTTGTTTCTGAAGACACAGAATTCTGTAAGGAGCATGATGCAAGCATGGCCCATCTAAGAGCAGCATTTACCGGTTCTGTTACCTTTGATGTTCTTTTCCAGCACATTCAGGATGCATGACAGGAGCTCTCCTCTGCCTTGTTCTTGGTTGATTATTTTATGTGGTTTCATGGTAAATTATCCCTTTCTTTTTATCCAGAAGAGACTACATAACATTGGTAAGAGTAGTAACGCTCATTTAAATGCTTTTGATGAAAAATAAATAACGTGTGCTGCGAGACTAATGGACCTGAATTACAAATTGTAGGAGTGACACAGGCAACACCATAAATAAGACCCTCATTACAGACATCTCCTGGGTGCCTTTACTGGAGAAAGGATGTTTTCCCAATGAAAGTTCCTGCTATCTGAGATTTTAACAAACTTCTTAGTTTCAATATGAACTGTTTCAAATTGCCAGACAAAAGCTTAAAAACAAAGGCATCATTCTCTTCCTAATTCTAGTGAAAGTCTAGGCAGGAAAACAGGCAGATTTTCCACCCTGAGGGTATTGTTAAGTGAGAGAGCACCACACACAATTCAGCTCGTTACCATATGATAATCAATCAGTAACAAATTCTACGCCAACATCTACATTAACAAACACATTTATAAGCTCATTAACTGAACAATATGTCCATGAGTCTTAAGCGGGGGATCTGGCAACCACACAATTTGAATCACATGTCTCAATGGTGGCAGTTTAAAATTGTGATTGCTACAGAACATTGACAGTTGTCCACAGCACAGAACACCAAGGAATTACACATGCGTCTTTTTGACCTTTGGAGTGGCAGGCAAACCCAAAGTTGGTAAGGGTCAATAAGGAGTATTTTTCCATGTTGAGTTCATCTTTCACCATCTCTATTGATAAGACGACCAACAAATAGATGGATGATGCCTTGCCAAGTGCATAATGCAAAATGATAACTAGAAACCAAACCTTGGGCCTTAGACTGTGCATCACAAGTCCCTGACCATACTTTCCTCATGGTATGCCAGGGGAAAGATGGACACGAGTGCTTACCGTTGCTGCCAGCCACATGATTTCTACATTCTTTCTTTTTTTGGCTTGAATATTTTGATGGAGCTTGTCCAACAATCCTTTTAAGTCATTTTGTTCCTGAAAATGTGATATATCTAAATGATGAAAAATAAAGAAGAAAACCAAGAAACAGTGTCAGCATGAAGCTTCCTATGGAGTTTTCTTGCATCATTTCTGCAAATGCAACTTTCAAAACAAGAAATGTCCTGTGGAGCAATGCATAGGTAAGGAAAATCATATTAATCCCTTCAGCTTTATCCTTTATTTGGTCACGTGCTTTAGTGTCCTGTTCCTCTATTCTATGTAACTATGTTAATATCAAATTGCCCATGAAACACTTTTGAGACAGGGTTTCTCTGTGTACTCTGTGTAGCCTTGGCTATCCTGGACTCAATTCGTTGATCAGGCTGGCCTTGAACTCACAGATATCCACCTGCCTGTGCATCCCCAAGTGCTGGGATTACAAGTATGTGCCATTGAGCCTGGAAGAAAAACATTTTTCATAAAGATGCTGTTGCTTTGATTTAGGTAGCATAAGCCAGAGATATGTTGAGATACCATCTCTCCTTGTGACTAAGCCGCTAGCCTGGATCAAGGTTAGATATTAAGTTGGACATCATGTGTGAACAAACTCTGAAAGTTCAATTTATAAATATAGAGCCAGTTTCTTAACAGAAAGATTCCCCAGTCTTGATGCTATTGACATTTTGGGTCATGTAAGATCCCTTTTAAATTTATTTTTATTTTTAATTTGGGAGGGAACTACTGGCTATTATGGAATTTCTAACTGCTTCTGTGAGCTCCCAGACACCAGAAGCAAGCAATCTTTTCATTTTGACAGTGAGAACTGTATCTAGGCATTGTCAGGTGTTCCTTACAGGAAAAGGAAGAGCCATTGCTGTCAACGAGCCCAGATGTGACAGGGCAAGGGGATAGCAAAGCAACAGCAAAGGGCAGAATGGAACTAAAGGGGGACAAGGAATGTGCTGCAGCTCAGATGTCTATATTCTAATAACTAAAACATGGGTGACAAATGGCCACCACTTTACACAAAAGCTGAAGGCAATGTACAATTATGAACCAAATGTTCCTGAGACTTGATGAGATGTATCAATGAGGAGGACAAAAATGCTTTTTAAAAACCGTGTTGGATCTGTAATGTGTAGTATGAAAAAATACTGGTAGCTCCCTATCTGAGGCATGAGGAATTTCTGCGATCCTTGACCAAGGCTAAAAAACAGGATGTTCAGGAACTGAAAAGAGACCATGTCTTACTATATCCAGTTACCTGGAAGATACACAACAGACATTCCCTGTTTCAGTCACAAAACTAACTCAGCTTTGCTTTGACAGAGATGAGAGTTTGTAATTTCTAAGTTTGTTCAGATGCTTCATTAGGAAAACGGCATATATAAGTGGTTCCTGACAGCATCTCCAGAGACTAGAGGAAGTTTCGCAGTGAACTCTGTACCAAGCACATGCGTAAAAAAACACAAATGGTGTGGAAGAGGAATGCTCACTGAAAACAATCATACTTCACATCAGGTATCTTGAGTATAGAATAAAATGGATATTCTTCCATTATATAGTCTATGTCACAGAAAAAAAGATTTAAAATATCTATGAGAAATATGCATGCACATGATTTTACTAAATGATGTAAACTTCAAAAGTCAAATTTTCATCGTGGAACTAATGCTGATTCTCAAAGAGAAAGTCTGACTTACAAGCACTCTGAAGGCTACTATTTGCTGTGAATAGACAGCAAAATCAAAAGCAACTTGGGGAAGAGTTTATTTTGCTTATACTTCTACATCACAGGAAACCAGAGCAGGAACTCGACAGGAATCTGGAGGCAGGAACTAAAGCATACACCTTGGAGGAACACCGTTTGCTGGCTCATTTCTAGATTTGCTGAGCTTTCTCTCTGATATAGTCCACTACACCCTCTCAGAGATAGCACCCCACCCCAGTGAACTAGGACAATGTATATGAAGAAAGTGCACCACAGACTTGCCTATAGACAAATCTTATAAAGACATAGAACCATGAGAGAAAGAATCCATGGTGTAAGAACCTCCTTTAAAATCTTTATGATTGAATGGGGAAAAATAGATTTTCAAGCTCATATTAAGTACAAGGAAGTGAACTGTGGGTCTGACCAGTAAGTAAATATGTCAGGTCTGATGGAAAGAGTGGGTAGTTCTAGAACAGGAGGGTGCAGAGTGTCGTACAGGAAATACTCTGGGCCTCTAGAAACATTTGAGGTCAAGGGACAAATAGAGCGAATACATGGGCACAGGCAGCAGTGCGGTGGCACCTGGAGTGTGCAGGGCCCCACATCTCTGTTCTGAGTGGTCCTGAGCCTAGTGTCTCTCTGGGACGTAGAGTCTGAGCCTCAGGCAGAAAACACCAACCAGTGGTCACTCACACCTTCAAGGTCCCAAAGATTCTTTTGAATCCAGGTCATTCAATTCTATTTCAACCACTTTTAAACCAATGTAAAATGATATGTCTAATTTAATTTAAAATAAAGTCTGATGCTGCAACACAGAAATGAACACAAGTAATTAATTAATGTATACTTCATTATATATTTGCTATCTCCTTGAACACAAAGAAAGTGTTAACTATGTGAAGTAATAGATACATTAAATAATTTGCCTCTGGTGGTTATTATTTGTTTATTAAACTACTAAATTTTCTTCCTTATGTGTATAGTCTTTAATTATTAAAATTATTAATGTGACACCCCAGTCAGTAACATATCGTACACACATCCACACATCTGATTTGTAACAAAACTTTTGTGAGATAACATCTAATCCTACTATGGGTTGCATCATGTTTGTATTCTACCTATTTAAAAAATTCTAGTTGCAACCCAGCAAAAGAATACAACACCAACAAAGAGGTCCAGTATGAAACCTTGCAAAGCATTGGCTTGGAGAAGCTTCATGGCAGCATGCATGCTATAATTTGGGTGTTGATTGCCCTCCCAAAGCCACATAGTAAATGCGGTTCCGTGCACACAGTGGTTCCAAGGGTGGTCCTGGGAAGAGTAAAACCTTGAGGACATGGGCCCTGTAGCTGCTTAGGGTTCAAGGTAGGTCTCTCAAAGGAGACTTTGGGACTCCAGCCTTTTTTCCTTCCTTTCTTTTGCTTCCTGGCCTGACCATAATGTGATTTTTCTCTACCATCTATGACTGCCATGACAGTCTGACAAGCCCAAAGCAGTGACACCAATTAATCAAGGCCCCTGAAATAGCCAAAGTAAAACTTTTCTTTTCTATGTTTGCTATCTGAGTTATTTTGTTAAAGTAAACTAACATCAGTTAGCATAAAAAGCAGTATTTTCCTTTTCAAAAAGGAAGTGTACAATGAGTCTCTGAGCTCCTAGGAACTGTAGAATTCACCCCAATCTTATTTGCACCTTTATAATTAGTTGGGGTTTTATAATCAACTCTGACATTTTTATAACAGACTAGCCTATTCAGAACAAAGTATTTAGGTTTACTAAAACGGTATTTTTTCATTGTTGACATGGGAGCTTATGATAGGAGTATCACAAAAGAGGTTGTGGAAGATGATTAAAGCCTGAAACTACCCAGGCACTCATGAGATCTCAAAAATGAGGTAACCCCAACAAGATGAACATAATAGCCACATCAACTGACATGACAAAGTTGTTGGGAGAAACTCACAAGGCCTTGTCCCTAGATGAGGAGCTACAGGCAACCAATGTCTCCTGAGAGAGGAAGATTCAGTTTTCTCTGGGGAACAGTCCTGCCACAGATTATCCAATCCCAGATTTCCAGTTCTGAAACTCATGTACATAGGAACAGCACCAAATGACTCAGTAGTGTGTGTGTGTGTGTGTGTGTGTGTGCATGTGTGTGTATATATGTTTCACTATAATGAATAAAGAAGGAAAAGTCTTGAATTTGAGAAGAAGTGTAGGATACAAAATAAGTTGGAGGGGAAATAGAGATGGTTGGAAATAAATAGTCTTTTGAAAACAGACTATAAGTCTCCTACTTGTGAACCAAATAGCTGGTGTCAATTTTTAAGCCTGATGAAAATTCATGGAGGGCATAAAATCAGATCTATTTTGAGAAAGGGTTCTCACTAGAAATGACTATTTTATTGATTTGTGAGGTTTCAAGATGTAACAGTAACTTTAGATATATCAACTAAATTCATAATCACCAAGAAACACGGGGTTGCCTTAAATTTACACCATGCTTCTAGAAATACCTATAAAGTCAATAGATCTTGTTTTGGCCATGTGCTCATGCAATAGTCTAACACCAAAATTAGACAGTTCAATTAAACCTCTGAGAAAACTTCATCTGTGTATTCTTTTACTAGTTTTCAAATTGAGTTTTAGAAAGCAATTGGAAAGGAAAGATGCAAAATGCTAATTGAATTATTGTTTATGACATTAAATAATAAAAAGATAAACTGTTGATAAAGAGGATGGGCAAACTTTTCAGTGTTAATTTGGTATGCTGTTACAAAAACAAAATTTTAAAAATGCCACACATATTAGAATGGATATTAGAAACGTAATATTAAGCAAGAAAAAATGACACAATAATATGGTTTAACTGTATAAAACTATATAGGTATATATTAAAAAATGTATGTGAAAATATAAAATAATAAAAATCAAGATGTTGCTTTTCTTAAAGGGAAAAAAACTTATGTGTAGAAAAGCCAGACGGAGAGGTCAGAAAAGGGTCCTTTATCCTGCTGGGTAGAATCTTTCAGAGGCTCCTTTCCTGTTCCCTGTCTTCTCCTACCTCTTATGTCTGAATGTTGACATAAGAGGTTTGCCCTTCTGAATGTTGATTAAGCCTCTTCCCTAGGGTCCTCCTTGTTGGTTAGCTTATTTAGGACTACAGACTTTAGAATGTTTATCCTATATTATATGGCTAAAATCAACCTATTTTTTATTAATTACACTTTATTCACTTTGTATTCCTCCACAAGCTCCTCCCTCCTCCCCTCCCGATCTCACCCTCCCACCCCCTTAGTATCAACTTATAAGTGAGTATATACTATGTGTGTCTTTCTGCTACAGAATAACTCA